ACCGACAAACTATCGGCTGGATTCTGCTTTCCAATCTTTGTTGCTAAGCTTGACGGCCATTTTTTATTGAACAAAATCACTTCCTTTTATCTGCCATGTAGTTAGAAAGAAAAATTAAGGAGTTCAGGAATAATTAAGGAGTTCCTGCTATTGAACCAAAGCTAACAGAAGGATCTTTCCTAAAATGATCAAAGTCTACTTTCGAATAGAACTAGTTCTTTGGCACTTTACAATACCGGGCCCACCTAATCACGGATATCAAGGAGAACTCTAGAGCAAAGATGAGTCGCTCAAGTGTTTTCCTTGAAGCTTCGCAACATAATGGGTGAAATTCGAAGATGAATATATTGACCTAATGGCAGTCGGAGCTAGAATTCCTCAAGGTCATCCCTATCTATTACTCACGGGTTTTAGGCTGTTAAGCAGTAGCAATATGTTTGCCAAGTAATTGTTCTTAAACACTGAGTTTATTGTATCTACCAATTGCCCATTTCTACTTTTGCTTTGGTGCCAGTTTTGTTGAGGGTTCTTTGATCAAAAGTTCGATGTGTCTGGCACCTCTGAGTTTGCCCGCTTCTGTTTCTTTTGGTTCCATACTGAGATCTGGAATCTGTGGTCCCAAGTATAGATTCAGCCCTACATATGATCTTGCAGATCCTCCTCAGTCCAGTTTATCCCCTTTGTTTAGTTTGACTGAATTTTCCAAATCCTTTGGGTCCTGACACTCAAGATCATCAGGTTAATGTAATGTGTCTCTAGGTTTTGGAGATTTTTGATGACACTAGCTATTTTTGATGTAATTTTTTTACATGCTAAAGCTTTAACCGGTGCTTGACTGTCTGACGTTATGTGGATTTTTTTGTCATCGTAACTCCTTTATGATTTTGTAAAGCATTTTAAAATTTGTAAACTTTGACCATGTTTTTACTCTGTCACCTCTAGAGTTCGTCTATTTGTACTTTTCTTTTGTATGGGCCCATTGACGCAGTTTATGTTTGATCTTTTTTATCATCACAGGTATTTCATATTCTCTTCTGGCCTTACGTGTGCTAAATTCTCAAACTTTTGTATGCCCTAGCGCTCAAGTTGTTGTTGGACTTGTTGCTAATGTTTCGAAGTTTTCGGATGACTAGTTTTGTTGTGTTATTTTTACACGATAAAGCTTTTAGCTATCTGATCTTATGAGGATATTTTTGCCAGTGTAACCTGTTTTAAGCTTTTCTATGGCACAACCGAATATCTTGAATATCAACTTGAAAGCTACTTCTTCATAGTCTGTTAAAGTCCAGTACGGTTTTGCTACATTACACGACATTCGAAAAATGGCAAAAAGGAGGGAAAATTCAAAAGGTGGGGTTGAAATGGTAAGTTGGTGTACGAGTGGATAGCTCAAGTGAGCAGCGGTGTATTTAGCCGAAGGTCGTGGGTTCGAATCCCGCTCGTGACACTGACTTTTTTACCTCAACCAATACCTTGCAGAAAGATTAATTAATTGAAAGGAGTTATTTGGTCGATCGGACCACGAAATCTAATAAATATATACATTGTTGTATTAGTGGTACAAGTTCTTAAGATAATTACAAATAATTCTTTAAACAATTAAAAAAAAAATTATAACAATTATGCGAAGTTTTATATAACCTGATACGGGGACTCAACGACCTGTACAACCCCCCCCCCCCCCCCGAGAACCTACGCGAGGAATCGTTCTTAGCCAATTAAGAATAGGTCATACGCGGTGTACAAACGGAAACCCGCTACTGAGCCAAAGCCCGAGCAGGTGCCCATTGTGAAGAGAAAGGTTGCTCGATGTGTCATAATAGAAGCTTGTCATGCCTTGGTTCCCACGATAGCTCAACTGGTAGAGCAGCGGCGTATCTAGCTGAAGGTCGTGGGTTCGAATCCCGCTCGTGGCAATGGCTCTTTTATCTGAACCAATACCTTGCATAAAGAATAATTAATGTATATATTTTTCGCTTTAAATTTATATACTGCATTGTTATTCAGTTAGCTTTTTTTGCTTATTCATGTTGCCGTTTCAAAATTAGATGAATTGAAGCGAAATTTGAAATGAAGTAACCAAATTATTTTTTTTTTATATTCATTTGTTTTTCATTGCTCCTGTGCATGATATTTGAAGAAGATGAAGATGACAAAAGTCGTCCCTTATGTTTTATGATGTCATCATACTTGGCAGTGTCAAGAATAATATATATAAAAATAAATTTTACTCAAAAAGCAGGCGGGCTCATCGAGAACAAAATTTGAGGAATAAACTTTTCACACCTCGGCTAACGATTCGCGTCCAATCCCCGCAATCCTTACCTTATCCCGGGTGGCAACGTTCCCTGAAATTGCTTTCCACAGAAGTATAATATCCCAGATGTTTATTGGCGAATTTCAGAGTACACAATACATGTCACTAGCGTCAATTCCAGCCTGTCATTGCGAATTTACTGCTCTCCCTGTGCCTGGGATTGATTCAATGCCTACAAGTCAAGAGTGCATGGGTAACCGTACACATTAATATTCTCGGACGATTAACAGACGACTGTTTGCGATAGATGTGAGTCCTAGGAAGTAAGTTTTTCTGAAAAAAAAAAAAAAAACCGTTTCTCCCTTTGAACTTGACTATACTGTTTTTAATGAAAACATACGGTTCTTATTCAGTCCCTGTTCAAAGGTTTCCCGGCATCTACCTACTCCACGGCAACGGAATCCATTTTCGGTAACGTTTTCTTTAGATATAAACGTTGGAAACACAACATCCTTATAACAACTAATCGTTAAAAAAGTTAATTAGAAGTGATTGACACACACATCCATACCCTCTCTCTCTATATATATGTACATCTATATTTTGACCTTAATGAGTGCACAATATGACTGACGACAAATTTATATTGCTAGTAGTGAACTGTTGTTTTCTAATTTGTCGAATTCGTTAGGAACGGTCAAGAATGATGTTCGTAAAAACCCATATTTTTTATGTTGTTCCTCTCGGGTACATAAGTGAGTTTCATAGTGACCGGTTGTTTTCTAATTTGTCGAATTCGTGAGGAGCGGTGAAGAATGATGTTCGTAAAACCCATGTTTTTTATGTTGTTCCTCTCGGGTACATAAGTGAGTTTCTTAGTGACCGGTTGTTTCATAATTTGTCGAATTGCTAGTAATAAATGTTTCTTACTAAATGTCAATAATGTGCCAACACATATTTAGGACGCTAAGCTCATTCGTTTTTCTTGTTATTAATCTTATTGTGAGTTAATTTACAATTCATTAAGTAATGTATAAGTAAATGAGCATACAGAAATATGAAATTGTTCGATTTAGTGAAATACGTGATACTTAGGTAAGAACTTACTTATTGAAAAAAATCATATTATATTTAGGGTTAGGATATCATGAGAATCACCTACTTTCATGTTGTTGGCAGTCTCGGGTCAGTACTTGATCTTGTTGCACCGATGTTAGGCTCCATGATCTTTAGCAACTAGGTCATTTAAGACTTCAACGCAGGCAGATTTTTAACACTAGCACAGTTTCATTAATTCTTAAATATATTTATTCTTATTTAAAATACATAATCAAATGGGTGATGCAGTACTCGATATGCCTCTATTACCATTTACACATCGACGCTCACACTTCTCGTTCACGCTAATAAATCCAACCTCTCAGGACAAAACGCAATACAGCTATTGCAAAAAAATTGTATGTAGGAGGGCACTTTTGTTGATTTTCCTGAACAGACTCCCTGCTGTTCCTAATCCTAATATCGAATGGTATTCCTACTCGCTCTCTACACGTTTTTGTCTAGCATTGAACACTTTTTTATATATGTGCCGAAACATACGCAAGTAGCAAGCAGCCTAAGCAAAAAATAAGTGTCTGTGCGTCTTGAGTACACATGTTAAGAGCAATCAGCCAATGATGGCACTCAATACGATGTTTTAGGTGGCGTGGTGGGAAGACATGACTTTTTTCGGGTTGGAAAAATGTAGCGGCTGGGGCAGTGTAGTTAAGATGGATCGATAGCTTGTGTGGAATATTTCACATGGGGAACTGACCAGTTCGTTGACAAAAGGAATGTTGAGGTAGTTGTGGACAGTGTTTCTGACGTAATAAGAAGCTTTGACAATTTGTCTAAGGATCTTATTCAGAGTTAGTTGAGTTTCGCTGTCCTGTCCGATCCAAAAAGTCATTGTAGTCTTGTTGAACTTTTGGCAGCGATATAGGATCGGTTTGTTAACAAACCACTTGTACAAAAATTGTATATAGAATGGGATTTTGCCCATGATTAAAACACGGAAACAGACTCGTTTCCTGCTCAAGCACAATTCGAATATCGAGCTGTATTACTACTCGCTCTCTATATGGAAGTGGCACCTTCGAATAATTGGGAAATAAGCGCGTCAACCTCGGTCGACCGTGGGTTAAAATTAAACAATAAAATAAAAAGCGTACTCCTTCGATTAGTTTAAATAATTGAAACTACTTAAGAATCTGTGTTTGTCTAGTTTTGTTTTGTGCAAAAATTTACTCGAATATTTCTGATTTGATCGCAGGGTCGTATTGTTAAATATTCGAATTGCACTGTGAGACCCGATCCCGTATTTTATCCGATTTCAGTATTGTCAACTGTCAAAAGGGTGTCGATTAATATAAATTGATTGCGCTTGGGAAAACCACGAGTGCCTGCGAATCGGGAGAAACACCTCCTAGTTTTTTACTGCATTTCGAAAATAGAAATAGCAAATCACAGGCTGAATTATGAAAGTAAGTTTTCTGTCGACTGGCACTACGAAGGAAAATTTAAAATAGTAAATGACTATTTCTATTTTTGACCGTTGTGCCAATTGATGTTTTAGACATTTTATTTTATCTGTTTCTTAACGTTAATGTATTTTTTTCTTTCGTTCACTTGTCAATTTTTTGAAACAAAACATACTCATTTAAATTATTACTTTATTTAATAGGTTACTTTTTGTTTGTTTTAGGTTGAGACTAAATATCCATTGCGCCAGGTGAGAAGTTCGTTTCACTGAGGGAAAAGAGAAAAACTGTAAGTTTTTTTTTAAATTAAATTTATTTATTAAAACTGGTCTTATTAGACCAACCATTAATTTTACAATAATATTATAGAATAAATAAATGTTTACATTTTTATAAACCCATTGGTACAATAAGATTTACATTTCACTATTCACTTCACAAGTTCATATGGCTTTGTTCTTTTTAATCTTCTGACTGTGTTTCGGTAATGTAAGAGTTTAGTCGCTTCCACATTCTCGTGCTGGCTGAGGCGTGCCTGGTGTTTGGCGGCAAATTTTTGTATTTCCGCCGTGACTTCAGGGATCTTAAGATCCCTATGTAAGTCCTTATTCCTTATGTACCAAGGTGCATTGACCATGTTACGTAAGATTTTATTTTGGAGTGTTTGTATGATTTTGATATTGCTGTGTTTGGTACAACCCCATAGTTGAATACCATATGTCCACATAGGCTTTATGACTTGTTTATATAATAATATTTTATTTTGTATAGCAAGATTGGAGCCATGTCCTATCAACCAGTATAGTTGTCTATACCTTAAACCTATTTCTGTCCTTTTTTTCTTCACGTGTTCTTCCCATCTCAGCTTGGCATCTAAGGTCATTCTCAGATATTTAGCTGTATTGCTGTATGGTATAGTAGTTCCATCGATTATGAGCGACGGAACATGGTCCACCTTTTTGTTTGTAAAGATTATATGAACTGATTTATGCTGATTTAGCTTGATTTTCCATTTTTTTGTCCATTCGTTTATCTTATTACATGCATTTTGGAGGATTTTGGTTGAGTGGGTGATAGTCGGTCCTAGTGATATCACCGCTGTGTCATCTGCAAACGTTGCAATTTTTACTCCATCTATTTTCGGAAAATCACTGGTGTATAACAAGTAAAGCAGTGGACCTAATATGCTACCTTGTGGCACTCCTGCATTTATTGTTTTTAATTTTGAATATTGATCTTCTTGTTTGACTCTAAACAGTCTGTCAGTTAGGTAGGAACTGATAATATCGACATACTGCTTTGGTAGCATACCTTTTAGTTTATTGATGAGTCCTTCGTGCCAGACCTTGTCAAAAGCTTGTGAGACATCAAGGAAGATAGCAGAAAAAATTTGTTTTTCTTCGAGAGATTTTTCTATTACTTCCGTTACTCGGTGAATTTGGTCTATTGTTGAGTGTCTTGCTCGGAATCCAAATTGGTGGTCAGGAATGATTTTCTTTTTTTCAACGATGTGTTTTATTCGTTTTAATAATAACTTTTCGAAGAGTTTAGACACTGTTGGTAGTAGCGATATTGGTCTATATGATTTGATCTCGTTCGCCGGTTTTCCTGTTTTTTTTATCATAATGACTTCTGCGAATTTCCAGATGCTGGGAACATATTTCAGTCTGATCGCAGCATTAAATAGGTATGTTAGTTTAACTATACCCTTCCCTTTTTTGGCAATTGTTTTAGTATTTCTCCTGTGATAAGGTCATATCCTGGAGTCTTTTTAGCTAAAAACTGTAAGTGACAAATAATAATGCTACATTTTTAAACATAATTTACTTTAACCGAAATTATAATATAATACATTATTTAACTAATTCTGAGCCCTTGGTAAATTTTATATTGTATTTTCACACGCATTTGCGTGAAAACTAAACAATTATTATATTTCAACAATTAACTCCAGAGCCATTTACATGTTACGCTGGTATTTGGGAAAGTGCGGCACCTTGGTCTCCTTTTCAAATTAAAAAGTATCTTTCCCATCGCCTGCTATCTCATCCTGAAGTCTTTCCATCTCGAATGAATGGCTGGTTGAAGACGAGAATTATCCGACATCACGCTATCAAGGCCGGTGTTCCTCAAGGGAGTATCCTAGGACCAATCCTCCACACAGTTCATCGTTGAATTATCTGTACACCATAACACACTTAAAAGAAGTTCTTTTCAGAGGATCTTCGGAAGAGGTCAAAACAGAGAAAACTTCCTTACGGTTTTCGCCGAGCTTTCGACAGTTTTATACTGNACCGTAAGGAAGTTTTCTCTGTTTTGACCTCTTCCGAAGATCCTCTGAAAAGAACTTCTTGTATCCAGCAGGTCGATAATCTATTTTCATCGTTACACTTAAAAGAAGTACCTGCCCACAAGTGAATATTACAGTAGGGTAATCCTCACAAAAAAAGACAAGAACTGAACAGCAGAAAAGGACAATAGAGACACTTGGTAGGCCGTCCACTGGAGCCGTTTTCGGCCGAACTTGCTCGGCCGTTGCACGCCCGAATAGGGCCGGATGGTCCAAAAGTGAAGAAACGAAGGAGCACGCGTCCATTAGAACCAATTCGTTCGGTCGTGTTGGGCCGTGTACGGCCGAAGCACTTTCCGATCCAAATAAAGTTGGATTTTCCAGTCCTATTCGGCCGAATGGTTACTTCGACTATATTTTTTTCTTTCCAAAAGGTAGATCGGGGATGAGAGGCTTACTTCGACTTCAACTGTCAACCACGTGACATCAAACGCTCACCATTGTTTAACGCAGTTCTTTGCTTTTTGTATTACCTTTTCGTTTCGTTTTCATTTTGAAGGATTGCGAAAAATTGATGAGTGCGGTTGAGGAGCAGGCTCTTGGGACATGCGTGATCTACTCTATCATCGGAGAGATGTCTAGCGTAAGCTGTGGTCAAGGATAGCTTTAGAAATGGAACTTCCAAAATTTTTGTTTATTTCTTTCATTCCATTTGTATGTAAACTAAGAATTTTCAAGCAGCAACAAATCTTCTACATCCATTTGGGCTGTGTCGTGAACTGACGAAAATCGGCTACAGTGGACGACGGCGTTCGGCTATATTGCCGGTCGTCCGTTTGGTCAAATAGTTCGGCTGTTGAACGGTTCCAATGGAGGAGCAGCCTAAACAAGACATTAGTTAAACCGAATTTGGCCTTAGATAGTCGGGTTATGGGGTCCACCAAGCCATCCAACATCCAAAGAATATAATCCTTTCAAACAAAAGTCCTCCGTCCATCCTCAAACCTTCACTAACCAAACCTTAACATCCCATTCGTGAGGGACAGGATCCGAACACGATTTCACAACTTCCACTCCACCTTTCAGATCATCCACCAGTTCAAGCCTTCTCTTCAGCATACTACCCTAACAATCCTTCATGGCGCCTAAAAAAACAGATACCTAGTGATAACACAACCTTAAACCTAAACCAACAATCAAAACACTCAGAGTTTTAGCAATTTAAGTGTTAGATATATTGACCAATTTTCTACCCGCTAATAAACCAAAAGTAAACTGCTCATAAATGAATAGGAATATTTGTAATTTAGTCTTATTTTATTAATTTTAATTAAATTAGCCGAATAAATTCCTGTTATTTAGAAAAAACAAAATAGAAAATACAAACCAAAAACAATCAAATGTTAATCCTCATTTTAATAACATGAAGATTACTCATTTTGTAAACAAACACCTTTTCTAGTCTTTTGTCCATTTTAATCCAGTTGTATTATCTTTAACCATGGAAAGACATCATCTTGAAGCAGAAGTCCGTAATATTATTGTGAAAATGAGACATCGAGGCCTCGGGCAAGTGGTTATCGCAGAGGTAGTTGGCGTTTCTCATAGTTTGGTCTCCCTGGCTTTAGCCCGATTCCGACAGGTTGGAAGTGCCAATAGGAAGCCTGGCAGTAGATCTCAGCGCATTACGATGCTAAGGGAGGAGAGAAATATTGGCATTGCTGCAAGACGGAACCCTTTCCATAGTGCCCGGCAGGGCTCACATCGTATACCTCTTTGAAACGACCTGCAGCAACAGCACGCCACCAGCAACTCGGGAGAATATGGTGCAGCGAGCGCCCAGAAGAGAACTCCAATTGGAATGCTGTTTGTTTACTGATGAGTCGCCTTTCTATCTGTACAGTGATAACAGACGGAAAAGAATTTACCCAGAACAGGGGATGCATGCAATGCCCTAGTTCGTACTCCCTTCTGTGCACTTTGGAGGAGATGGTGTAACGGTCTGGGCTGGGATTTTGGGACACTGGAGGAGGAACTAGATTCCGTATTGTTGAAGGTAACCTCATGGCAGTCCCTTATGTCCAAGTAATTATCAAGGAATACATCACCAAACCAGGGATCTCATTGACATGGATTTTCGATGTCTGGATTACAATGCCAGACCTAACAGAGGCAGAATTTTTCATAAATGTTTAGAACACCTGCGAATTTCCCATCAGCCCTTCCCCCATTGTATCCAGACCTCAATCCCATTGAGTACATGTGGGATGGGATGCATAGAAGGCTTGTCGATCGCAACCATCCGCAGCCAATTGACCTGCAACAACTGAGTGCAGTATTACTACGTCTATGGAGTTAAATTCCTTTTGAAATTAGTGACAACTTTATTAACAGTATGCCTAACAGGTGCACAGAGGTTTTAGCTTACGGAGAAGACACAGTTTAACTGTTTAAAAAAATATTATGTCCAAAAATATGCAATTACAACCTTTTATTACGCTATTTGTCATTAAATTTTCCTTCAGTAGAAACCTAATAATAAAAATATCCCTATTCGGTTTTAAGCAGTTTATATATGATATCGGTAAAAAGCTAATATAGTTGATACTGCTAAGCTTTTGACCTATTTAAAGGTCATCATCAGGGCAAAACCATCTTAAATATGTCTACAAATCGACATAAATAAATTTTTCACAGACGATTTCAACTTTTTTTCAAGATGGAATCAGTCCCAACATTGACAAGGACTTTAACCTACAAACCCTTCAAGGGCTAAGGGCCCAGGAATAGCAGAGTGCAGTGGTGCAAATCCACCTTAGAATTCTCTGTAATTCCGGGATGGTTCCAACCCAAAAATGTGTGATGGTAGGTTTGTCCCTTTTCTATTCTGTTTTTTTAAGCTGTCGTTCTAACCTTAATCTTAACTTATCAAATTCACAAGTTTTCGTGGTCCGCTTTTTGAAAAATGGCAAAAAAGAGGGAAAATTCAAAAGGTGGGG